CGAGCCAGAGACAGGCAGAGAGACTACAAACCGGCCGCAGGTACCGGGACCGAGCTGGAGATGGGAGGACAGGCTGTTACACCCAGCCCGGGGGAAGGGGACATATACCTAGGGAGTGGTTATTTGATCAACGTGGTTGGAGGGATATCTACCTGCAGAGGGACTATGTACCCAACCGGGATGAAGGGAGGAGGGGTATATACCTACAGATGGGTTGTGTATCCAAAGGCGGGGTTACGGAGGGGTATCCACCTGTAGAATGAAATATATCCATTTGGGTCAGGTGAGGAGCTGTATATATCTGCAGGGGAAAATATATCCAATCGGGGGTGGGGAGGAGAGAGATATACCTGCAAAGGGGTTATATATATCCAACTGTGGTGAGGCAAGGAGGGGTATATCCCTGTAGAGGGGATATATATCCAACCCGGGGAGGAAGGGTATCTACCTGCAGAGAGGAAATATGTCTTACCGGGATGAAGGGAGGAGGGGTATATATCCAACCAGAGAACTGTGGGGTGGAGGGGTATATACCTGCAGAATGAAAATACATCCAACTGGGTGTCAGCAGAGGAGGGATATGTAACTACAGGGGGAAATATATCCAATCGGGGCTGGGGAGGAGGGATATATGCCTGCAGAGGGGTTATATATCCAAACAGGTGGAGGGAAGGAGGGGTATATACTTGCTGAGGTGTTATATACCCACCTGGGTGGAGAAGGAGAGGAGGATGACATACTTGCCCAACTTGGGGAATGAGGGGAGGGGTCTTTACCCGACCTGGGACAAGTGAGCTTATAACCATGACTCAGGGAAAGGGATAAGAGGTATATGTTGAACCTGGCAGAAGATATTGTTATCATACCTGATACTGGGGCAAATCTAGCAACAAGAGCAGAACAAGAGTGGATGCAGTGGAATCTGGAACTGATTTGTCCCTGGGTCTTGATCTTCTTACTGCCTCCACCCCAAAAACATAGGGCCTCCCACCATGTCCCAAGACTCTTTTTCTACTCTTGGTA